ACTAAACGACACCAACTCAGCAGATACACGCGACTACTGTTCGTGATCATGGATGCTCAGGACTCCAATGGATTGCACCATCATTCGAGTAAAAGTGAGTTCCTCTGTACTCATAAGGCACTTAAGAACCCGCGTAATAAAATAACATTTACGTTGATTGGCTGACCATGAGAACTGGTGGGCGTATAATACACTGTTCAAAAATACAATCGTTCGGACAGACCAAACAATGTTGAAACATATGATGGATCCTTGATCATGGGTGATGGTATCTACAAAGGGAGCGGGATGCGTCAAAGATTCCTTTCGTACAGGTCTCGAGACTGATGACAGATAGGGTTAATACTGAGGAAAGAATGCCAGTGGAATTTAAATGCTTGATCATTTACGAAGAGGATCGAAGATGGTCAGATGAAGACGAAGACTGTAAGGGTGGAATTGGCAGAGAACCTGTAACAAAACACAAGACATAAATTGTCTAAGAATGCAATGTGGATGACACGCCTGAAGAATGAGAATGACTAAAATAGATGTTAGGGGTATAGTATTGAGGTATTTTGTAATTTTATCAAGGAAATCAACAAAAATGACGTCTGGGTGAATTATGGTTTGTGTGAACCTAGACAAAAAAAACATTAAAGCACACTTGACGGCTAATTAAATGAGTCAAGATAACTTTTGATAGTGTGACTCGAACAGTCATAATGAAGTAGCTATGTTATTTGCACTCCAAGAGCACAACATCTGGGACTAGCTCTCCGTCTGTAATCGACAGATTTCGTGAAAAAGACTTAAACGTATACTCCTATTTGAGTCCAAAGCATCAATATGTTTTTGCATAGCTTTTTTTAACATATGTGGAATTATTTGTTGAAATATAATAATAAAGCTTCATTAGAATAACCTGAATTTTTCGTTAACGCCAATGTTATTAAAGTCTAGGTTTTCATGAGCACTAATAACTATGGCCAAAGCTTCTCGAAAAGTTTGATATTACCTCAATTTTTATTCCTCCCGACCCAAGCTGCTCTTTATTTAGTGACATTAGAATATTATTCTGACTATCGTCTGTTTAGCTGACTGAAAAGATTAAGACTGCCATTTTGCATTTCAGCTTCAGGACTTATGAAACCTCTTAACCCACTGTCATGTTGCGCTAGTTACTGATTTGTTTGCTAACTACCTTTTTAATTACTTATGCAGCCCTCTCATTCATTGTTAAAATATATCATTATCTAGGATAACCGAATGGTTGTTAAAAAAATGCCGTCTGTTTTAGTCGGACAAGGCCTGTCCGAGTTCATTTTACCTCGAAAACCCCTACGTTCAGCCTGCACACCTCATTCAAACAGTTATCTAATGATCTGTAACACTAGAGCTAAAAACACCGTTCGCGCCGAAATCTTTCTTTTATCTAAGGTATGTACGATCGTCGAGCAAAGCGGAAAAAACACAAGCTTTTCGTTTACAGCTGGTTTTTGGTGCTTTTTTCGTAAAAGTGCGCCTCCTAAATGTCGGCTCCTGCCTTGTATTTATGCACTAAAATGTTGCGTCCTCCAATTGGTTAAATTATTTAAATAACGTATTTCTGTCCTGAGGTTCAGGAGTTGAAGCATCTTTCGTTTTCAAAGTTACGGTTTTGGTTGCACCTTGAAACTTCTCGGCACTTTTGTGTTCAAGTCACACTATGTCCCTACCACACATTTCGTTGCACATTTCTGATTGAACTTGAGCATAGGCCACAAGTTTCATCACTTGTATTAAAAAGGCAACATGTTAGGTCACTTTCGATATGGGTTGTTTTCGGAAAAAACCGAGGCACGAACGGGTAATATTTGCAATGCTGTTTTGTGCCTTTCGCTATCCGCCTTCCTTAATGTGGCCAGGAAACCGTAATAAATTGCCTCAGGCATCCGTAAATTTCATGCAAAAAATGTAAATTTTCACAGACCAGGATGCCGTTTTAAAAGAACAGCAAAAGATGGCTGCATTCTGACCTGCAAAGGACTTTTAAAAAGCGCGATCTTAATTTATACACTTGAAAATAACAGCATCAGTCTACATTGTAGTCGATATTAGAACTTTTGAAGACATAGTTTGCGTTTTTTTAATCAAAACTAGCTTTGCCTGCATCAAGTCCACCAACTTTAAATTATGCAAAAAGGTTCGCCTCTAAGATAACTGTCATAACCTATCCTCCTGTCAGATTAAACACGGTGGCAGTATGTTCCATCTTGCCTTAAGAAGCTGTCATTAGGAAAACCTATGCTCTGCTGTGAAAGCATCTTTCCAAAATTTTCAGCAAAGCAAAATCCGCACCATAACTGCGAAATTGTTGTTATGATAGGGACCCACTACGTCGGCACGACTGGACTCTCTTGGTTTCAATGACTGTTTCCCTATACACTCGCGGATTCTTGAATCCACTCTCTTGTGGAAGTTTTGCGTGGCGCTTTCATCCAAAAATGGAGTTAAAATTTCATGGAAATGCTGATTCAAACCTTAGCTTTGCGTTCTTCTATTGCGTTAGTTACCGGCACGATAATTAGTCTGGTAGTGTATACACATTTCTTGAAATCAAAGGGAGTTATTTGCGCAAATCCCTTCAATAAGTAGCCTTATTCGGAAGTCCATAATGATGAAGTATCCACTTTATCTCAAAAAATGTTTGTCAAAATCCCAAAATGTGTTATCGATTGAAGATAATTTCCCAGGTGGAGTTGTAACATCGATTATTGTGCAGGACATGGCCTTTTGAGTGAGCGCACTTTTGACAGTCTGCAAAACGCGCACTCTAAAACGAAGACTTCCTCGGTAGTATAAATTTGCCATTTATTTCTAATGCCCTGATATTTTCCAAAATGCTTCGTAGAAAACATAACCAAAAGTATTCTTTCTTGCATTCATTTAGTAGCAATCTACGTCCTAAAGTCATTCTTGAATCCCAGAACGGTTTTAAACCCGACCTACTTCTGCACTTGCTCTAAGGATTTCTAAACTCCATGCTGCGCACTTTCCGTGTATCGATACCAGATAAGGTTTAGGAGGTGTTGCAAGGACGTAGAACAAGTTGCATATTTCATAAGCGGCACCACTACACGAATAGATACGATATTGTGTGAATGAACATTTCACGGTCTCAAAAGACTATCATAATTTCATTTGTTCTAACGGCAGGATACCATTACCTCCGAGTAAAAAAGTAGAAGGAGACATAATTTACAACAAAACAATCACAAAAATATTTTTTTATGTTCTCCATGAAGCACTGAAATAGATGGGGTCATCAAAAATAAGGAAGAAAATGTGTACCACGAATGTGGTATTATTTACCGAGCGTGGCTTATGTTGGTGGCTGAAAAGATGCCAATTTATAAGTCGGAATCCCCCGCATAGCTAAGTTATTTTGGGTCTTCGTTTAGTGATAGGCAATGCTAGAGCCAACCCAGGTTATCCTTTCTATCTATAATATGTTTCAAAATGCCGGTTAATGTTTTTGGATATTGCCCAGATACTGCAGACGCAGTCAGTTAGTCGAATATGAGGCAATACACTAATCTTGGGGCATCTGAGACACCGGTCTCCCTAAAAGTGGTAGTTATCAACGCCATCTTGCAGATGACAGTCTGAGAATCCGGTTTTTATCAGTTTGCTGGCCAATAAATTTAAAACGCAGTGACTGGAGCAGCATTCTTCCCTATTACTAGTGGGGTTATTGTTATGGGGCCGTCCAAAGGCTTCTCCGCCGAATCCCATCGCCGCCAGTTAGCTGCACACAATCCAGGCCAGGCAATAAATGGGCGGCAAAACGTAGGAATTTTTTGACGTAAGTAAAGGGCCACATAAATAAGTATTTAAGCAAGTGCTTACTGTCGAAAACGATATCTAATGCACAGTGGGAAGAAAAAGAAGTTGGCCCAGTTTCACGGGTGACTGACCAGCTGGACATGCAAAGGAGGGTAGACAAAAAACGGATACCAGTAGCGCCTCTGAATAGTAAGCCCTGACAAAATCAGCCACAGAACAAAGGCATAGGCCGGTTTTGGCCACTCAAGAATCGTATTTTGACTGTTGCAAAGACAATTTCTGGCCAAGTGTCCGTCTGAAACGAGTACAGTCGCTCATATCTACTATAGGAATTCATATGTGACAGGTTCATGGAGGCTTTTAAAAGGTAAAAAGCGATCCATTTTTTGACTGAGACTAAAAAAAACCCTGATCGTCTTAATAGCTGAAATAGGGCAAGGGTTTATGTTGGTGTACTAAAAGGAGGCAAACAGACCGCTACTATGCCGTGGTGAAATATCGAAAGCATACTCTCTGCTGTGGACCACCTGAAATAAAATGCGGAGTATTTGCCGCTAAACTTCCACAGGCTGATCTGCCTGTTGTGGGCTTGGTTAGCACTATTGTTTTGCATTTTCTGCCTGTTGGTTTAGGTGGAAAGTGACATTAATGTTGCGAAAGAGAGACTTGACCATTAGCTTCGGTAAGATCAGGATTTTGAGCTGCGTAACCGCGTAGGACAAGTTTGTCCAAACACGCTGCTGTCTGCAAGACAACCCTCACTCTAGGTTACATAAAACTACGTATTACTGTTTGTAGCTGATTCAGTTTTGCGGACAAAGGTGCCAAAGTCCAATAACAAAGACTTCATCAGCTTGAGTTTATAACATCATCAGATATTACATAGTTGACCGGTTCCATTATGTGGACAAACCAACTATCAGCTCGCACATCAATCGAATGCATCAGACACGGACAACAAATCTTGGCGGGCGCTTCCGTATGCCAAGAACGCTTCGGAAGCTGTTGGCCGCCTTCTCGCACCACTTGGGGTTGAGGTTGCACACAAACCGGAGGCAACCATCAGGCGTCAGTAAATGAAACCGAAGGACCCTCTGCAACGGCTAGAAACGTCTGGAGTCGTTTATTGGATCTGGTTCAGTTGCGAACAAAGCGACTACGTCGGAGGAACTGGAAGACTGCTCCGAACGAGAATGGCCGAAAACGCTGCAGCGTTGCGGAGAAATGACGCCAGCTCTGAAGTTACGGCTCATTCGACGAGATCCCGCCACATATTCGAATTCGACGAGGCCGAAATTCTCGCAAGAGGTGACAACCGCGTGAGCCAGGAGCTAACTGAATCATGGTTTACTGTCCCTCAGTCCATTAACATGTGCAATGAACTTCCCCCTCCATACTCCGCGCTGAGACTTCGTCTAGGCGGAGTAATTGGCAACGTGGGAAGCGCACAGCTGAAAACTCTTCCCAACACCCGGGTCAGCGCGTCAGATGGTCGAGCAATCATCACACCAGCATCCAATGCACGTGATCAAATTGCAGCAATTAACGACGCGAACGTCGGCCATCTAACAGTTACCACACCAAATGCAACGACCCCTGATGGGGATGGGGAGACGTGAATATTCATAGGAATGCGGTAACATAGCGACTGCATCCTATAAATAGTGCAGCCCCTGATGCAATGAATCACCCATATCTGCTGTTGTCTCTGATGTCGTGTTCGAGCAGGAACGCGAAACGTCAGGCTAATAAAGCTGTTGTCCTAGTGATCGTGTCTCCTTCTTCAAGACTAATTCCTGGGACTCGTCTCTTCGCTTCTATTTGCAAATCGCATTTTATGGTGCGTAACTATAAAACTTGCAACTTACGAATGCCACTCTCATTCTCTGCGATACGATACCCGCGAATCAGATTTTTTTCAGTATCCACACTTGCCTTTTGAACCATTACTATAGCTAGAGAACCACATGTGGCTTAGCAAGGGCTTTGAGGAAGGGTTTGCTACAGTCAGTGACCAACTTCAGAAGATGTTAACTGAAATTCCAGAATGCGATTTTGCTTAAGAAAAACTATTTAGTTGATTCAGTCACACCAAAAATTCCATCATTTAAGTGCACTGCACTCCACTCGCCTGCAGGAACCGCGGTTAATGAATACATACTCAATATGATATACAATAGTTTTCAACGGCTTTCGTAGTTCTTTAAAAGTTCAGGCATGTTTAATAGATAGAATGCAGACGAATATCCTTTTTATGTACAGACTTTTTAGGAGAACAAACCATCAAATATTTTGCTGGAAAGTGACACCTGATACCCAGAGTGAATGTCCCGTTAATTCCGTCTAGGCGGAGTACGACGACGCTTGCGGCTGGCGTGCTAGCCCTTTGCAGCTCTGATATGAACAACTGGGTGTTTAGGTTTTAGGAAACTTTTCCAATTTCCTGAGAATTTGGAGCCCAGTCTACCGTTGTACTTCTATTTAACGTTTACAGTCCACATCCAGTATACTTTCTATGTAACTAAGCTCACAGCATACCATTGAGAAAATACCATGTGGGTTCCGTAAGCGGACGGTAAGACAGTGCCTGATGCGCAGATCACATAAAGCTATCACGCAGTTTGCTCGTGGACATGGGCCGTGCTGCATACTTCATTAGAAACATTAAAATATGGACAGATACAATACCATTTAAATGGTCATTTCAGTCCTTTCAATATTTTTTAATAAAGGCTTTTGAAATCTGAAAATTCCTCATCTTCGTGTAAAGGATATGTAAAAACGTACTGCACCACCCAATTAGTACGAGGTAGAACATCATACTTACATTTTTTATGAAATATATTTCCACTTTTAAGGACATCAAAATTTGACAAAAAAGATATACTTAAACTAGTTAATTGTTGCCAAGTACGGTTTTATACGCAGCTGGTAAAAAGTTATCTCGAAAGCCGACATCCTTGTGTAACCAAAATGTCTCGGAATTATGCCGTAAAATAAGTAATAATAAAAATCTATTTAAGAAGCTCCTACAAGCCAATGAACATTCTATGAGGCTGGTCACAGACTGCAGCTCAACAGTAAGAATATTTTATTCTTCTGACATAAGTATTGAATACGCCTTTTACACACCCTCACATAAGAACCATATGGATGTCGTTTAGCAGGAAATATTGACGTGTACTCGATATCAGTGAACGGGATAATTTTGACTGGGAAAGGTTTTCGAGAATATCAGATCATTATTGTTGACTTAAAATCAAAAAAATCGAAGATCTGCGCGTGCAATGCGCAATGTAAGAACGAGGGATTCTTGTATCGGAGCATGCTCTTATTGAACTGTCAAATATTTTACAATTTTTATAACTTCTTTGAGTTCACAGAATGAAAGGGTGTTCGTAAATTGAATTTCATAATGGTTGTGAAATATCGTCCGAGGATCTGGGATGTGTTTTTGACAGGAAAGGATTAATTAGATGAGGCTGCAGTATCAATCTTTGTACAGCGAAATTGTAAGATATCTCAGTCATGCCAGGATGTCGACTTTTGAATGCGTTTTTCCGTTCGCCTGCGAAAACTACAGTCGACAAGCAACAACTACACAAGTAGCATATGTAGCACGTACTCGCTTAGCAGAAAAGTGTATCTTTGCAAATAATCACTTGATAGAATTTATTTTGCCGTTTCGAATAAACTTAATTTTCCAAATAATTTTGAACCCGACCTGCCGTTACATTTACGTTCAGGGTTTTTAATCAACAAGCCGTTTACCTTGCTCGTAAGGAAAACCATATTTTTATATATTTTTATGAAGAAGACTCATAAAGTTTTGTGATAGGTGCGGACAATATTCTTCACTTTATAAGCAACATTAATGAATCTGCGGATGCGATGCTGTGTGATTGAACATTTCAGGGTCTCGAAATGCATAATGATTAGGATTTTGAAACACTGAAGAAAATTCCTTCTTCATCGATAACATTTGAAGGAGGTGTAATTTGCTACCAAATAAGTGAAGTTACGAATGATTTCAGGCATGTTTTTACAAAACATATTTGATTTTATAACAGTACTACAAATCAGCGGTAACAATTTATACCAATGAAGTAGTCATTTATTTAAAAAAAGTGGCTTATGCCAGCTGTCTTCAACCGCACCCCGAAATGACTGGAATATCATGGTTTTTTGACACACGATAATTACTATTTCAACTTCATTAACGTAATGTTCTAAAAATGAAAAAAAAATTCAGAATTTTAGCCGACATTTATTGATATAGCACATATACTTTTTTGACACCTAAGCGAAGGTTGTCGGATTTAAGTAAAAACAACGATTTATATGTTATATTTCCTTGAAGTGACCATTACATTCAGTTGTTTTGCTTCTACCACAAACAAGAATTTGCTTCTTTTGTTATTTCCTCCTGTAGAGTTGCTGCCACGATAAAGCAGCGGTTTCTTGACATGGGCGACATCAAGCTGGGAGGCTACAGTCTTATCTCAGCACACTGGTTTCTTTCGTACGATCTTTGTCATATCAGCTTATTGGATTGTTGCAGAAATTATTGTAAAAAACCGGAAATTTCCACTTTAGCTAAAAAGCCGAAACATAAAATCTAACGGGAAATATGGAGAGGCCGCTTTTGTTTTAACATAAATTATTCACCAACTCGATGATATGCCCTTTTTGAAAACAAACAGGAGTCTAACAAAAGGTTAAAGTCCTAAACGCAGAATGCGGGAAGGACATGAAGATGTCTAGAACACATTTATATGCACGCTGCGCTCCGAAGAATCTGCTCACCCTACTTACCAGCCAAAAGCCAACCACTAAGTTTCAACCCTGACTGTTTATGTAAGTCTGATGAAGGCAAACTCTGAATGGTAAAGTCACATTATTTAGTAATTTAATCAAACAACGTCGGTTGTTTGCGTACTGCGTACTATGCAATTAAAAGATTGCCCAAAAACAGCAGCCCGTTACGAAACGGTCTCACAGAGAGCTCTTTCTCTGCAACTCTCTCACATGTGCGTGCGTTTATGCCCTAGAATCGTCCTCGCGGTAGCCCAACTCGCACGGTCGTCATAAAACGCAGGAATTATTCCGATCAGTGTGTTGCAAGTTTTGGCCGGTGACTTCGCAGTTTGTCTGAAAACTATCATCTCTAGCTTCGTGGCAACCGCTTTTCGAGTTTGTTTTTGCAGATGCAGAGAATGCGGAGGATGTTTATTTTCCAGGTAAAGAAAAAACGAAATTCTCAATCAGACAAACGATAGCAAACACAACGCTACTGTCTAAGAGCCTTTCGCATAATGAAGACATTGGAGTCCCAAAAGCAGTCGCTTCTCATAAAGGAGACGAGATTGAACAGACCTAGCCTTCTTTTTAGCGAATATTTATCCAGTGTGAAACGAAAGTCAGATATTCGACGCTAACAGGGGTTATATACGCCAGTTGAAAACCCCTTATTCTTTGTGCCCCATTTTAAAGATGGAGTCGGATACACCCCAGGATTTGTGGAACTTAGAGTATGCATATGAATCCTGGGAACGCAGTTAGTCTAACAACCTGCTCTAGGCTCCACAAATTTGCAATCACGATGGAAGAGTGAAGGTTATGATGAATAAACTCTCGACTAAACCTGTTTGGACTTTGAAGACCGAAGATACCGATTATAACGTGCACTTTGTGCACGTAAATAGCGACACGCCAGATGTGCATTGGCAGTTCAAAACGATTATATGGCCCCCGTTCCGAATTGTAGCCTTTAAAGTTTCGATTTTCTGTGCAATAAAACTTGTACAGCCGACTGTATGTCGGCAGCAAGTATCTGTGAGAGATCTATCGTGACGCCCGACTTCTAAAAGGGGGTGTTAGAGGGTAACACTGGCTTATGTGGCCTTTAAACAGGACATGAGAACAGGAACCGCCTGCAATATGGGTGACTCATGGGCCAAATTCCAGTGAAAGTAGGATTAGTTTTAAGATCAGCGTTAGATTTGTTATTGGGTTTAGGGATAGATTTATAGCTGACGATAAGCTTAGTCAGGATCAAGTTTAGGGTGAGTGTAGGCGTTAGCGTTAAATGAAGATTTTAGGCTGTGTGGGGCAAGGATCAATATTGGGAAAATGGCCTAGTTTTATATCAAGGTTATTGTTGAGGTTAGGACGTGGGAATATTTTGTCCATTCCGAAATTGTTCACAGGTCCACGCTTTAGTATTTGGTCGAGATGTACCTATTCTCATTCCATGTTTAGTGGGCCATAAAGAATAGTCCCACTATTTTTCTATCAACGCAATTTTTATTTAGTATTCAGCTTGTACTATGCATTCGGGTCACTTCGGGTTTATTGATGATTTTCTCATCTAGCTTCCTTGGCAGTCATCGGCGTTAGTGGCTTTCCTAACACTGGACATCCTTACGAGAGTTTTCGATGGCTTTTGGATTAATTATCACTATAGCTTCCCACTGTGATATCGATTTTTTACTATAATCGTTACCGTTTGGTATTTTTTAACAGATTTGAATAATTAATTTGACTCAGTTATGCAGAACTCGGTGTCCTTGGTGGGATTTAAGCTTACGACTGCAAGATGGTTGGAGCGCAGTCAATC